CACTCGGCTTGAAATCAAGTCACCCAGATGATGAGTACAACAATCACAAAGACGAAAGCAATAATAGAATTCTCAAAATAATCAATGAGTTTTCCCATCAAAATAATCAAGTGGCTTCCTCGAAAGTATGCATTAGCAATTGCTCCATTTGAAGGTACCTCATCGCATTGTCATTGCCAAAGAAAAATCCAAAGTACATGAATGCTCAGTTTGTAAACGCAGTTTCCATCAGGCCAAGCACTTGGCGGGCACATGCGATGTCATAGGAGGGCATCTAGTTCCCGTGGCGTCACCAGTTGAGATCAGCGAGCGTTTGTTGCCACTATGAGCTACAATTAGAGAATGTGTTGAATGTAAATATAGAGGAGGCTGAGAGTAGGAAGTGAGATTGAATGATCTTAGTCATCTCATTGATACAAAATGAGAGAGAAGGGTGGTTCTACATGGTTGCAGATTGGGTTTGAATCCATATCTACAGAGGAGACTAAAGCTGATCACCTTAACTGATCATATGCCAATTCTGATTTTATTGTTGTTTAGTTAATTTTGCAGTCATGTGATCGGCATTAAGACTTTGAATTTATTTTTATTATCTAGTGAATAAAGAAGGATGTATATTTACTTATTCACATGGATTCCATTTTCAAAAGTTTCGGAAGCATAAATATTTCTCAGATTCAAATATTTTTGTGTCTACATATTAGATTATACTTCATGTTACATCTATTATTCTAATATATTAAAAATGGAAAACTAGTGGAACTATTTATGATGGTTAAATGAGGGAGGAAATAAGACTATGTTTGGGATAGCTTTTCTTTATTGCTTTACTTTTCGGATCATAATCATATTTTCTATTGGACAACTATTTTTTTGTTGATTAAAAAAAAAAAAAAAACTTTTGAACTAGAAAGCTGCTTTCTAAATAACTTTAAAAATTTATTTTTTTCTTATATCAACTTTATAAAGTAGTAAAAAAAGTCGTCCCAGACTTCAGTTCACAACTTTCTTACTGTTTTGTTCTTCATATCACAACATAGTTTCAATTTTTGCATTGCTTTTCAAAGTTGTCTTATAAACTTTCTATGAGAAGTTGCTTTCTCAAAATTTAAAGTTTCTTTTTCATAGTAGCTTTACAACTATCCTTATAAAAATCTTCATTTCATTCATCCCTGAATGGATCACTATGAGTGACATCAGCCTTCTCAAAAGCGAGAAATTTTTTTATATGCATGATTATAAAGGTTATGAAAATTCTCTTTATAATTTTTTTGTAAGTACGTAAGCTTATAGTATTTCTATGCAATGATTCTATATTTGAGATATTTTTCTGTTAACTTCAAAGTTTAGTATAATATATGGCTTAGGAGTTGTCACAATAAAAAATTCAATTTATTTTTATTTTTTAAATTTCTTATTTATTGCTCAATAAAGAGGAGAATTAGAACCAAGTAAGAATTTCTAAGATATTGTCTATCAATAAATTAATTAAAGCCCAAATTCTTTTTGTTATTTTTTTTTTTCTGGAATGAATGGCTTTACATTCATGAACTCAGACAAAAATAAGATTTTGAATAGAGCATAAACAACTCAATTGAATGTAAACTCAGACAAAATAATAATGATTTAGGAGTGAATGTCAACAATTAAAAAATCAACTTATTGTATATTTTTTAAACTTATTATTTATTGCATCAATAATTTGGAGAATTAGAACCGAAATAAGGATTTCTAAAATATTGTCTTTCAATATATTAATTAAAGCCCAATTCTTTTTGTTTTTTTTTTCCGAATGAAGGCTTTACATTCATGAACTTATAGGCAAACATTTCAAATAAAATATAAAATGGGATATTTTATAATTGTTCATATAATAAAAGAATCCTATTAATCACAAAATGAACAAAAGCTAAATCTCAATCTCGTTGTTGAATGGGAGCTGAGAATAATGCTTTTGTGTTAATTAGTTATATATTTTGGTAAATTGGTTCCAATCTTCGACCCAATCCATATTAAGCTCGTATAAATGTATAAATACATTAGTTTATACATTTACTTCTCTTCAACGCATTGCAGAACTAATAGTGATTGAATAAACAAGCAAGAACTTAGACCATTTTGTATAAGCAGAAGTATGTTGCAGAGTGACAACAAGATTGTTATATATATATATATAGTATATATATATATATATATATATATATATAACTTAAGATGTATTTAATGACTATAATGCCCTGATTAGTTACAACATGAATAATTATAAGAAATGGATGGAATTGGCAATGGAAACAAGGCTGACAGGGAGCTGAGCTAGCTAGTTGGGAATTTTCGACTGCTTGCATATAGTGGAATGCAGGGCGTCATATCACGATCCCTCAAGCTGATGGGATGAACAACCATTAGTTTGGAGCGAAGAGTAGCAAAACCTAGGCGTTGGTAAGGACTAGGTAAGAACATCAACAAGTTCATCTGTAATGGAGATATGTTTAGCCTCAATGTGTTTTGCATGGATGCAAATCCTGAATGAAATGGTGATCATCTCGATGTGCTTGTAGGGGCACGAAACACAAGATTCCTGGCAATAGACATTGCAAAAGTGTTGTTACAAAACACTACATGAAAACCAGCTCTTTGTGCAGATTTGCGGCGGATATGGTTCTAATGGTAAAACGGACATCCAAAAATATTTTCAACGAACAAAATATATCGCAAAATCTTTGCGCTAGATTTGTGGTGGATTTGGGACGGAATAATCTCAAATGAAATGATTGTTTACTATTTATGGTCCACCACAAATTCCATCACAAATTCCAGCGAATTTACATCAGTTAATTCTAGAACGTCGTTTCAACATTTTCATCGTATTTTTTTTCCTCATATCCATCACAAACCTATAGCATAACAAATAAAAGAAATAGCTCCTACAATCATTATTTGGGCTTCCCAACATTCACAATCCAAGCAGTTATGAAAAATAGTTATACAAAGTAAATATAATCAAAGAATACTATGCAAACTGTACCAATTAATGAACAAACAATCATATTCAATAAAATTCAATAAAAGTTATAACACTATTACAATTTTAACATAACTTATACATAGAATGACATTAAATATATCAAAAATCATCTCAGGTAATAATTTAATTATAATATGTATGCGCATTGTCCTACTTGGCTGATGGAGGCATCGGTTGAGATCTACTAAAAGGACCGCAATAGGCGATGGACGTTGGAAGGACCGAAGTTAGAAGGAGACAGGGGTCAGAAAGACCATTGTCGTAAGGCGGTCCGGCAGAAGTTCGGCGTTACTTGGAAATTCAAGCATTAGTTGGTAGTCTGGTGGTAGTTTTGCAGAACTTCAGCGTCAGGCTGTAGTCCGACAAAATTCCATTGTTAGGTGGTGGTTCAGTAGAACTTTGGGTGTCTGGTGGTAGTCCAATTGAACTCCGTGGTCCGGCGGAACTTCGGGCATCAGGTTGTGGTCCGGCGGAACTTCGGGCATCAAGTGGTGATTCGGCGGAGTGTTGACGTCATGTGGTGATCGAGGAGGCAAGGAGGCAATAGCAATCTCCAATCTTTCTCTTTATTCCTTCAAGAAGGAGGGATCTATTTATAAATTTTTTAGAGTGCCATGGACCGTAAATAGGAGGAAGATCAAGGGTAAATGGGGAGTGGTTTGATGGACGGTCGATGTTGAAACCCTTGATTATGGAATGTTTGTCGGGCATTTGAATGACTTAAAGATGTCGGAATTCGGCGATCTTAGGCTCGTTGAGCCGCTCGATTTGACTAGAAGCATGTCACGTTTGGAAACAGTTTGGTAATCCAAATTGTTGTTTAAACCTTCCAACAGCGCTTCGGATCTTTGATTTGGATCCATTTGGGCTCTAATTGAGTCGAATTTGTTGTTGTTGGGTTCGTATTTTCGAGACGTTCAGTTCAACTATAAGTTTGCTGTAATTAGAGTCCAAATAGTCCCATATATAATTTTTAAAATTTTTAATTTGATTTTACCTCGAGATTCGTGCCCGATCAAGATAAATTTTTAATGATGTATCATCACTAAATTTAATTTACAATAAATATGGTAAAACTATTAATTAATTATACAATCATAAAAAAATCATATATAACTATAAAGTCATTATTATCATATTTATGCTAAGATATCCTTTACCATAATTATGAAAAAGCCACCTTTATTCATTAAATCAATTTCATATATATTACTTTGGGATGGCAATGATAATTTATATTTGTGATTAATTATTTTTTGCTAATATATTAGCAACATTTGGTTAAGCAATCTTTTGAATCAATTGGAATATTACAAAGAGTTATTTTAATTTAAAATCGCTTGCACATAAATTTAAAAATATATATTAATATTTAGATAAGCAGCCCGTTAATGACTTTGCTAGTAACTTTGCCTAATTCTAAATTTGTTTCCATTTCGATTATAATTTTATTTGTCTATAAAATTACAAGATTTGTCTATAAAATTTGTTGAAATGCATCCTCGGCTAAAAAAATTCCATAAAGTTATAAATTAATTAGGAACTTTTTAATATAAATACAGCTACTGTAAATTAATTTTAATTTAATTTGATATTAATAATTTTAATTAATCTAATTTTAGTTCATTTCTAACAACTAAAACAATTCAACATCATAAGGACCTCTTCTTTTTTCTTTTTTTGGAACATTTAGATCAATTAAGGCAAATTCATACACACAACACAAATGAGAGACTTTAGTTGAAAACTATTGGTTGTTAATCAAAACTCTCAAACAACCAACGGCCAAAGGCGTGTAGTGCGAGGTCTATTTTTACTAAGAAAAATTCTTTGAATTACAACCCCACATTTGTAAAAGTTGCTTATTTATAGGCTAAGCATTTCTTTGAATTACAACCGCAAATTTACTAGAACTTTTCCCTATAAATACCTCTTCTCTCAAAGTATTGTATTCAAAGTTTGGTTTGCAAGAGCAATGACGATATTCAAGAAGGAGAAGCTGGTAGAGAAGGAGGAAGAGAAGTATCATTGTCGATTCTGCGGTAAGAGATTCAGTAATGGGAGAGCGCTTGGAGGGCATATGCGAGTCCACGGGATGTTCAATAAACCCATCCTTCACCCGAACAAAAGTCCATCCACCACAGGAGTTGAAGGAGACTCCTCCGACAGCAACTGCCTCCCTACTAGTCACATTTGCCAAAATTGCCGCAAAGAATTCTGTTCGTTGAAATCATTGTCCAAGCACTGTTGTCGCGGTCTCGTTGGTGTTGGCAGGGATGATGGCGAGAATGACAACTCAAATGACCTTTTTTCGCCTTCACTCTCCCAATCCAAAATTCCTACTCAACCTCTTGTGCTTACCGAAGAAGAGCGTGTCGCTAATTGTCTTGTCATGCTCTCCACTGCCTGCGCCAACCCTGTTTTTCGCAATACCGATGAAGCAGAATGCTCTACTTCCAAAAGGAGGGATGTTGATTATGTCTTCCTCCTGCCTTCTTTGCCTCAGCCAGAAGGCCCAAAACCCCACATCTCAACACAAACGCCTCAAAATGCGCATAAACTTTTTGAATGCAAGACTTGTCAAAAAGTATTTACCTCACATCAAGCACTCGGCGGCCATCGGGCTAGCCATAAGGAAGTTGAGGACTGTTTTGCAACTCGGGTTGAAATCAGGTCACCCAAGAGAATGAAGTTCACAGCAATTGAAGATGAAAGCAACAATAAAAATCATCAAAATAATCGAGCCATATCTTCCTCTGAAAATATGACTTTACCAATTGTTCCGTTTGTAGGTACCTCATCACAATTGCCACTGCCAAAGAAAAAACCCAAAGTACACGAATGCTCAACTTGTAAACGACAGTTTCCATCAGGCCAGGCACTTGGCGGGCACATGCGCTGTCATTGGAGGGCATCAACTTCCCGTGGCGCGACCGTTGATCCATTGAGCGTTGTTGCCACTAAGCTGCAAGCAGGGAATAGTAGCAGTAGATTAAACGATATACAACCCCACAAGCTGAGGACCATATCTTTAATTTCTACTCCAGACTTGAACATACCATCACCAATACATGATTTTCCCGAAGTCACGTTGTGTCTTGGTGTGCCCATTACTACAATGTATGTACAACCAGGACGAGAAAATGTAAACGAGAATATGTTGAATGTAAATATAGAGGAAGTTGAGAGTAGGGAGGTGAGATTAAATGATCTTAGTGATCTCCTTGACATAAATGAGAGAAAGGTTGGCTCTACATGGTTGCAGATTGGCTTGGAATCCATATCTAAGCAAGAGACTAGAGCTGATCAACCTTAACTCATATGCCAATCCTGATTTTGTTGTTGTTTAATTTTGCGGTCATGTTATCGACGTTAAGACTTCTGAATTTATTTTATTATCGAATGAATAAAGAATGATTTATATTTATTTATTCACATGGCTTCACATTTTTGAACGTTTCGAAAGCATTTATTATTTCTCAGTTTCGAACGTTTCTGTGTCTACATATAAGATTCTACTTTATGTTGCATCTATTATTCTAATATATATATATATATATATATATATAAACAGAAAGGAGTGTGACTATTAAGTACACCAAATTATAATTAATTTCAGAATATTTACATGTGTGGTGTTTATAGCAAAATCACCAACTTAAAAAAATTATTTTACATTATTCTTTGTAAGAGATGTTATTTATGTAAAATTTTATATAAGCAAATTAATTAAATTTAAATATAATATTAGAGTATATAACAAAGGCTTCGTTTGGGGCGGCTTTTTTATTGCTTTCTAAAACGATAAATAATATCTCTTACAAAGTTTAATGCAGTTATTCAAAGATTTCAAATTTTATAAAATTACAATTTTTAGAATATTTATAATCGCTCGCACAAAAAATTATATATATATATATAAGCAGCCCGTTGCTGAATTTGCTAGCGACTTTGCCTAATTTATATTTTTTTCCTTTTCGATTTTAATTTTACAAGATCTGTGTATAAAATTTTAAAAGATTACGAGATCTGTGTATAAAATTTGTACAAGAAATTAAAGGGTGCCAATAAGAAAAGATTGAGAATACAAGATAAGCATACATTTTAAGAGGATAGAATCATATGTTAAAGAGAAAGAGGGAGAACTATGTCATGGAGAGAAGCACGGGAGAGAAATAAAATAAAAAAAAAAAACACATTTTTATTCCATGATAAATTATTTCAATTGAAATATTACAAGAAATTATTTTTTAGGACACCATATTATAACATATTTTCAAAGCATCCATAGGTGAGCTGCATACATTACTTAAAAATTGATGAGGTTTCGTTGGAAATGAGCCAATTTTTTTGTTTTATAAATTTATATGTGAATTCTAAATGCTCGCATCAACAAGGAGAAGAGCTATATTTCTCGTATTATCTTTAATACCAAAATCAATTATGATTTGGGCTTTCTTTGAGATAGTCTTCTCACTACTTGGTAACGCGACTTTCTAGTATATAAATTTCTTATTTAAGAAATTTTTGTGCTAAGAATTTGCTTTAGAAAATAGTAAGAAAGCTATGTCAAACAAATCTTTAATCCATGTGATTGGATTTGAGGGCTTCGAAAGTGAGGAGTAAGAGGTTAGAATGTTGAGCATGAGCTCTTATTATATGCAAATGTTATTGTGTGAAACATAAGATTCAACCATAAATAACCTCTTGTGAGATTTTAACTCCATTGAGATCAATGGAAATATGATTATGAAGAGAGGATAAATAATTCAATTGAATGTAAACTCACACATAAATAAGGTATGATTTTGAGTGAATGTCAACAATTTAAAAATCAACTTATTATATATTTTTGAAATTTATTATTTATTGCATCAATAAAGAGGAGAACTAAAACTGAAATAAGGATTTCTTAAATTGTCTTTCAATAAATTAATTAAAGCCCAAATTCTTTTTGTTATTTTTTTCCCGAATGAATGGCTTTACGTTCATGAACTTATAGGCCGCCATTTCAAACAAAATCATAAAATGTGATATTTTGTAATTGTTCATATAATAAGATAATCCTATGAATCACATAATCGACAAAAGCAAAATCTCAGTCTCCAGGCTGAATGGGAGCTGAGAATATGCTTTTGTGTTAATTAGTTATATATTTTGGTAAACCGGTTCGAATCTTCTATCCAATCCATGTTAAGCCCATAAAAATGTATAAACCAAGCATCCAATAGTTTATACATTTCTTTCTATTCAATGCATTACATAAGTCACTATGACTGAAATGAAACAATTGTTTTGTTGTTGTGGTCCGCCACATATTCCATCACAAATTCATCAGATTTACGTCAGTTAATCCTCCGCAATTTGTGACAGATGGGTCCATCACAAATTTCGATACCAGAACGTCATTTCAACATTTGCGTCGGACTTTTTGCCGCAAATCTGCTGCAAACATGTAGCATAACAAATAAAAGAAATAGCTCCTACAATCATTATTTGGACTTTTCAACATTCACAATCGAAGCAGTTATAAAAAATAGTTATGCAAAGCAAATAAAATCAAAAAAATATTATGCAAATTATACAAATTAATGAACAACTAATCATATTCAATAAAATTCAACAAAAGTTATAACACTATTATAGTTTCAACATAACTTATACATCGAATGACATCAAATATAACAAAAACCATCTCATGCGACAATTTAATTAGAGTTTGCATGCTCGTTGTCCTGCTCGGTTGATGGAGGCGTCGGTTGAGATCTACTAATATGCTCGCTCAATCTTTTAAGCTGTTTCAATATCTGAGCGTTTATGTCCGCTTGAGTTTTTCAGACATTTTCAAACTTTACTATTAAGTCAGCCACATGCTGGCTAACTAAACACTCGTGGTTGCCTGCTAAGTGGTTTATGGCAGAAGAGGACTCTCCCTCGTATGCGGATGCCTGCAGGCCTAATAAATAAATTTTCCCCTTCTGCATTCCATCTACCGCCTACGTCCAAGTTCGGTAGTAAAAAATATCTGCAAAATCCATAGAGGATACCTCTCCAGCTGTTTCCTAGCTCTCTCGAATATGTGTATACCTATCCTACGAATAAAATATAATATAATATTAGTCATCATATAATTGTCTCTTACAATATTTCTATAAGTATAGTATTTCTTATATACCTACATATGCCCTCTTAGCTTTCTTATCCACCCACTATTAGTCCTACTGGCTCCTATGAGTGTGATTATGTAACTCAATCGCAGTGGGTTATTTAGCAAGCAGATCTTTCTATAATATACTTAGATTGGAATGTATATACAAATAAATTATTAAAATTAATTAAAGTTCATACTAATTGTCATCTATGCTAGAGTGTGGCACTGAGCCCCAAGTATGTATGAAACTTCCCAGGCTGTAATCCAATGGAGGATGATTAGAGAGTCAAAAATTTGCAATCCAATGGTAAGATTTCATTAGATTAAAAGCTACTTCTTAGTGTGTTGAACTAGATTTTATCTAATTATGGATTGAATCATGCCTTTGTTTATCAAGAATTATGACCAATTGAATATCCACGACACACAAAATTAACCTTTGTTTCCTTCTTATTGTCGTAAATCCCATATTTACTAAACCCTATAATTCGATGGATTTAAGGGATTTGGCGGAAGAATCGTGCAAAAGGGAGATTACCTTCACAGTGAGTGAGCTCCTAACTCTTGTTTCTGATCCTGATCTAGCAGAAAGGACGCCGTCGAAGAAGCAAAGTCAAACAACAATGAAGAATGGTGAACATCAATGAAGAGACGATGGGTTGCGAGCAAGGAATGTCAACGAGCAAGGGTCATCACTGCGCGGTTTTGGGCATGAATGAATGGATGAAGCTCGCGAATGAAAAAATAACCTAGATATCAGTTTAGATAAACTTATTTGTGTAAGATTTGAGTTGGATTTTGCGATGGAATTGCAGAGGATTTGGGTTAAAAATTCATCATAAATTTATGATCGATTTTTCAATGTAAATTCACTGCAATTCCATTGCAACTTCTGCGACTAAAATGTCCACCATAATTTTGTCAAAAAAAAAAAAAAAATTCGTCGCAAAGCCCGCCTCAAATCTACCACGAATCACTAGTTTTCCTGTAGTGAAAATAGAAGTGGAATCTAATTTGATGGAGAAATCTTGAAATAATTGATGAACCCAAATGAAGTCAGTTGTTGTGGCTGAGAGTGATTGATATTCCACTTCGGTTGAAGAGTGAATCACGGTGGATTATTTTTTAATAGTCCAAGAGATAAGTGATTGGCCAAGAAAAATACAAAAAAAATAATTGTGGATTTGCAGTCGTGACGATCACCTGCCTTGTCAGAGTTGAATTACGATGTTAACTAAAGATCAGTTATGGGAATGAGAAGGCCATGATCAAAAGTGTGTTTAAGGTAACCAAAGATTCATTTGAAGAGCTGAAAATGACAAAGTAAAGGTTGATGCATATGTTGGCTGAGCTCGTTAACGACAAAGGCAATCTCGAGTCATGTGAAGGTAAGGCATTGGAGGGAGTCTGCCAATTATTGAAAGAGAGTAGGTTGCCTGTAGGGACTTCAAAGATTGGCATCAGATGGTCATTTAGAGGGTAGTGGGTTAGCCAGTTGTTTTGCAGGCGAACATGAGCATAGTAGAGAGGAGATCTTGTAGGTAGGTTCATTGAGAGAGGTGATAGTCGACAAAAGAAAGAGTAACATCAATGCTGAGAAAGCGAAATATTGGACCGAGACTCCTAATTTGGAAACAAAGGTGTAGATTATGTAGTAAGTTGGTAAGGAAAGTGGAATCATTTTCGGTAATCAAAATATCATATGCATAGATAAGTAATTAGATGCAAATTTTAACATTTTAAAGAATAAGAAATGAGGAATCGATAGAGCTAGTGTGAAAGCCTTGGAAAATAAGATAGGAGGTTAGAGTGGCAAACCAGGCACGATGTGCTTGTTTTAAACCATAAATGGCAAAGGCAAACATGATTTGGATTGTGGATGTTGAAATCATTGGGATTTAGTCATGTGAATGGTTTTATTTAGTTTTCCATGAAGAAATTAAGGCGTTAGCGACATTCAATTGAAGGACTTACCAATTTTAATGAAGTGCAACAAGAAGAAATAAGCAAATGGTAGGAAATTTAACCACCAGATTGAACATTTTTTTATAATCAATACCATATTTTTTTAAGACTTGAGCAATAAGGTGAGCTTTGTAGTGGGCAATTGAGCCATTCGTACGTCATTTGATTTTGCAAATCCATTTACAAAAAAATAACATGAT